AAAAAAAAAAAAAGGGGGAGAGAGAGAGAGAAGTAGACTTCTTCTTGTTGAATTTATTGGCGATTGGCAACACACTTTGAGTAGGATTACCGCCACTTACTGGTATGGAGTGGGGTTCGTGATGGACTATCTTCTTCTAACTTCTGCTAATAAACATATACATAATTCAAATGAAAAAAAAGACATATATATATATATATATATATATATATATACACACATGCATACAGACACACAAATATACATACTTATACATAACTTTGTATTCTACCCGTCTATATCATACACACATTCACCCTATAATCAAATTCTATGAAATATATATATTTTTTTAATCGAATAATTATTGTATATGTTTACTCCCCAAATTCTTCCTCAAAATATCTAATAAATTAATCATTTCCTTAATACATTCAAACTCTCTCCTTGTATATCTTCTCTGGCGTTAATATTTATGACATTCCAGTATAACATGTTCTATTGTTTCATATTTTCCACAGTAATCATGTATGTCAGTAGTATGCTTTTGAATTTTGAAAAGTGTATGATTAAGTCCTCTATGCCCAAATCTTAATCTTGTTCCTCCTTTCTATTTCATCTTCTGTTTCCTACTATCTCCTGATTTTTATAAAACCATCTTCCTGTTTTATCTTTATCCCACCTTTTTTTTTCTTTAATAATACTCTTTCCTTCTGATTTATTTGTATTAACTGTAAAACTAATAGGATTTTGAATTGCCCTCTTTTCCATTTTATCTGCCCTCTGGTTTCCTAGAACTATACATCCATGACAGGTAGTTAACAGGTAGATTGATTGATTACAATAATTATTTAGTATACTGAAATTAAATTATTGATTTAAAGAAATATAGTTAATTTCTTTAGGTAACTGATTTGTTGCTCTTATACTACCCAGTCACCTTGGTGAATCTTGTACCTTTTGTGGTTATAAAAACAATTTTCCACCTCTTTTGTTCCCAAGTTGTATTTCTGCTTGCCATTGCTTTTTTTTTTTTTTTTTTTTTGGGCCCAAAACTGAAAATGTATTTGATCTGTTTTATTAAATCAAAATTAGCTAAGTGATAAGAGGAGAGACTTGACCAGAACTCTTCCTTCTATAAAATTTAAGTGGTCCAATACAAATTCAATTCAAGGCTAATCTGAGACTCTACCCAGCAACTTAAAAAAATAATAAAAAATTAGCAATTTTAAAAGACAAAAAGATTCTATTATTAAAGCCTTAAAAATATATGTGAACATTAACCTGTGATCCTTGCTTATTTTTCTTAACGTTGTTGTTTATATCTGTTTACTTCCTTTGTAAAGGAAATGTTTTCACTTTTCTAATTATTCAATTTGTGGTTAATGCACTTTGCTAATTTTTATTTTTTTTTTATTTTTTTATTATTCAGTCTTTTTATAACAGTGTCTACTGGCATCTTGCAAACAAATAGTTCCTGCCATAACAATATGGAGTCTGGACTGAACCTGTTTAAAAAAAAAAAGTTTCTACTACCTGATAAACTGCTGAGATTTAAAGTCAGTGGTCGACAAGTTTCTGGTTCTATTAGCGTTATCAACATGCCCCCTTTTGGGGGGGAAAAATGAATGTTATAACTTTATCATAAGAATTTATGGTATCTGTCCAAATACTTTTCTAAGACTCCTCTCGCCTTTAGGGATGTCCTTTGAGGGCCACATAAGTCTCATTGGAGAGCATTATTCAACAGCATTATGATGGCCAACAGAACTCCACAAGTTTGGTCTTTATGGAGTAGAAGAAAAGCCATTGTTCAAAGATGTAAAAATAGAATGGAAATAACTTTGTCTCAAGCTGTAGGTGGGGCATATGGAAGGTCATCTGGTTCACTGCTTTCATACTGAAATGGTAAAATGAACAGAAACCTTAAATGGATAGTTTAAATTTAAGAATTAAAAAGAAACTCATTTTCTTTCCAGCAACTGAGCACAAATGTTCATCAGACAAGTTTTATTCAGACAATATTAACAATCTGGGATTTTCTATGCTTTAAACCACTTGTGCAGAAACAGACTTCTGTAAAAATCTTGTGATTAGCTTTTTCAAAATAACATCTATTAAATATTGTAACCAAACTGCTGTTTTATTTTTTATTGAATGATTAATCTGCATGTTTTTAATTTGCACTTTATTTTCTTTTTCAAATGATCTAAATTATCCAGGTATATCTGAAGGAATGTAAAGCATCATACAAATAAACTTATTTTCTCTAACAGGTGCTAATTTCTTTGTTTTAAAAACAGTAACAAAAAAAGAAAAGAAAGCAATATTTAGCCAGTTTTACAAGTAGTATAACTATAACAATCTCTTAAAATTAAATATTCTACACTTTGATGTATTCATAGCAATCTTTGTATAGAGTTAAGATAGGTTAAGTGACAGGTCAGGTTTAAAATAAATTAGCATTAATTTGAATGTTTCCTTTCATCGTTTCATTAAAGTGCTTAATTCGTTCTGTTCAGACTGAAATCTGAAAACAAACTACAACAAGGATCGAACCAACCACAACAAGATGAAAGAAAAACTGAACTTGCTTCAACCTGCTTTACAGTCACATTATTTAAACAAGACCAACAATGCACGTTGTCTCCAAATGATGCATTGAAAATATTTCCACAGTCTTTGTTGCATTAGAAATGCTGACAGAGGTCAGTCAGCCTTCTTATCAGATGCTATAGTAGCTCCGTTGGCAGTCGCTTCCCTGTTGCTTTCAGGCTGAAACACAGAATTCTGTTTTTAGTAGGCGATTCATTTATAACTATGATCACAAAAATAATTTTGTCTTAATATAATAGAATGCCAGTATATATCTGTGTTGCCTTACTTTGCATGTCCCATTAGTCTTTTCACTGCCCTTTTGGTCGGTACTTGTGTCTGTTACAGCCTTTTTGCCCCAGATGGCGTTAATGAAGGGCGAAATGACAGGATAGATGATAGGTTCCAGGAATCGCTTGTAGACCCACAACAGGACAGGAATCACGATGCAGGGAATGCACACCATGACTGCAGCTCGCACAGGCTGTCTAGACGAAGACTGAAGCAGAAAAAAAACATGATAGGAGTGAAATTTACGAAAAGATTACACAAAATAAAATAAAAAAATCACAGTATTCAATAGTCAGTGAAATGTAGCTGCATATTAGCATAAATGGTACCATTCCTAATTAGCTCATAAACAGACAACATGAAGATGTGCCTTTTTAATAATATATACTGAACTAGATTACAATTTATAAAAAAAAAAAAAGGAAATAAAAGGATTGTTTTGTATAAATATATATTTCTAAGCTTAACAGATATTTCTTAAATTAGGCATTTTCTAAGCCTGTAACAGGATGACAGATAAATCATCTTAAAAATGAAGTTCTGTTACTTCAGAAGGATTCATCTGCCATTGTAATTATTTCAATATATTATGATCAAATATGTATCTCAAAAGCAAAGACTGACCAGCAGGCAAAAATCCAGATGCTTCTCTCATTGGAAACAAAACAAGATAACTAATCTCAAATCTGCATATTTTACTTCTAGATAGACACATGCCAGGTTTTAGATTTCCATCCAGTTTGATGAGATGCCAATGCTTTGAGTAGAGAACAGATTACACCCTGCTCGTCTTTTAAATGGTAAAAACAACTTTTAACAAAGTCTTGGCTAATTATCCCACCATTAAACTGTCAATGAAAATGGTAAGGTGGCAAAAGTTCAACAAAAACATTAAAAATGGTCCAAGAACCAAGTTTATAATTGATGAAGGTTCTCAGTCATCCAGGTCATAGTCATTCCGTAAAAAATAAAAAAATATCCACTGGACTTGGTTTTCAAGATTTGAAAACCAATGATTTCAAACCTTGAAAACCAAGTCCAGTGGATATTTTTTGAATTTTTGCGGAACAAGTTCATAATTCAACATTTAACCAGATCAGAAAATATTTAAGCTCATTAAAATCCTTGCAATTTTCAACTTAATTTTGTAAAACACATGTGTCAAGCTCTAGTCTCAAGGTCCAGCATCCAGAACTTTTAGTGTATCTGGTTTAACAAGTCTGAATAAATGAATTGGGTTATTAGCAGGACTCTGGATAACTTGATCACATAAACCGGAGGTCATTTTAGCAATTTGATTAAAGTCTATTGAATTGCCTAATGCTGGCCATCAAGGAATTAGGAAGTGAGTTTTGACACCCCTGGAATAAAATGTATTGTAGTGATTTAACTTAGGCCCATTTAACTTAGTACAGAAATTAATCATTTAAAATTAACAAGACTATATGGAGTCATATTCCATGTAAAACAATAACTTAGGGGCGTTTGCTCAATTAGCCTTGCATGAAATGTAATTTTTGTAATGCTATAGAAATAAACTTAAACTAAAAAAAAAAAAAGTTTCCTTTATAGTTATTTTAGGATAATAACTTCCCCCTCAAGGTATGATGTGGCTTTGATGTGTTACCATTAGATGCTCAGTCCCTGATGCCAAAGCTCATTAAATGAATTCCTCAATCCCAGATCTCTGACAGGCTGAATGAAATATTCATCAGGTATATTGATTCTGGGATCCCGCTTTAATGCTGCCTTCATAAACTAAAAGTACTTTAAATATAAAATGATTACATACTGTTCAACAAATGGTTTTTCTAATTAAGACTAATTTTCATTTGATTGTGCTTTAATGGATACATCCATGTTTGTCAAAGAGCACTACTGCCACCGCCTCATTTGTGACGTAACGGTATCGGCTGTTAGGCAAGTCCCAATCTGGTTTTTTGTCACAACGCGCCATTATTCAAGTCATCTTGAAAACATTCTTCTTCAGAATGTTGGCTACATATTACGTGTTTTTTCTCTGGCCAGAAGTTGGATGGCAAATTCTCCCTCTTTAAATTGGCAATCAAATGATGAACCAAAGATGAAATAACTTATTTTTACTGTTTTATCCAATGTATTACACCATCCAACTGCCATGCATTGTCAGTTTAACTATTGCTCTTGCGAATTTCAATAGCGAAGACTTCTGGAAATCTTAAATAATTGTTGTTTATTGCAGATGTGTCCAGTAGTTCCCATCGCTTTTTCCTTATAAAGCGAGGAGAATGGCGTTAGGCTTACCGCAACCGTGACATCACTGCCGGAAGATGTCAGGAGTGAGGTGTTACTATTTTTGGGCAAAAATGTCCACTCCCGCACTCTGTGAGAGTCACGAAAACTATTATTTAAATGTTTTCACTGATTAACACCAAATTCATTCAATTACAGCGATCGATTAGTTCTAGGTATAGATAATTATCCATTGATCATTTCTTGCTGACTGGACTTTTCCTTTAAGAGACTTGACCAAAGCTCTTAACACTAAATTCAGTCATTCACGCACACACTGAATGATGGCAAACTACATTGTAGTCACAGCTGCTCTGGGGCTCACTGACAGAATCGAATCTGCCGTACACGGGTGCCACCGGGCCCTCTGACTACCGTCAGTAGACAATGCAGGTGAAGTACTATGCCCAAGGACACAACGACATTGAAAGTCAGAGCCAGGGCTTGAACCGTCAGCCCTTTGATTTCAGGGTAAACTACTGCACCCGACACCACTGTCCTTTTTTAAATGACCGTAACTGTTTGATTTGATCAGATGCTCGTTAGCATTTGATGCATCCTTTTCTTCTTGTAGCAAATAAACCAGATAGTCTGACTGCCTTGCCCAAGTAGAGAATTAAGATAATCTGTGGATCTAAAGCCCCCGTCACAACTTGACAATTTAGCCAGCGTATAACTGACATCCCAGAATCTTCTAAAACGCTGACACAAGCTGAACTTTCTATGTATTTTATTTTTATTTTGGGTGTATATATAGAGTATTCATAAAAAGTCCCAAATTGTCAAACGACAGCCTTAATTATGCATAATGCACAGCAGAATAATGCCCATGAAATGATGCAAACGCCAGTGTCCTGAGGGGGTGAGCACTGCGCTTGGAGGCACCAGGTCTACATAAAAAGATGTCTTTGATCGTGGTATTAACCCTGCTGTTTACCACCTGCGAAAAAAATTAATAACAAAAACAAAAGTTTGCAGTCGCAGCAGATTCAGCGTCATGTTTGCTAGAAAGTTTGTTGGTCGTGGGCATGAACGGGGGGAGGATCCATCACATTCACCTTCTCACTCACCCTATGATGGGGATGAAGTCTGGATGAGAACTGACAGTTTTTCTCCTGTGAACCTCCTTAGATACAAAAGACTGCCAATATGTGATATGCAGAAACTGTAAGTTAGGAACACGTCAAATATGTTTGTATGCTTTGGGGGTAAGATTTGATAAGTTACTCATAAGTTATGCACAAATTTTTCATAAGTTTTGGATAAGCTGGACACCATGATTTATGAGAAACTTGCACTTAACGTATGTCAATGATCAAATAACTTACCGGTAACCTAACCCATACGCTGACACACGTCAACGTACGTGCCATATGTCGATGTGTGCCAGTGTGCTCATAACTTTACACAATTGACCCAGAACTTATCCAAGGTATGCCAGCTTTTTATTCCCCAGATTTTTAGTATATCAGGCAGACGCTGGCTAGATCAAGATGCCATTGGGGATTGGGGCCTCAATCAATTGGACTTAATTTTTTCCACATCCTGCAAAAGCTTGATGGCTCCAAACTCTAGCAAATTCAAGCTACAGTTAACCTCAAACATTACCTACTTCTGAAGCATAACTGACATGAGGAGGGAGACCATTATCTACTAAAGAATGCCACAGCCACCAGGGAAAATAAATTTCACTCCGAGAGCAGAAAGAACAGAGTTTCAATGAAGCAACTAGCGAATGAAGCAAACACAACTTTACCCTGTTGTAATTAATGAAATCCATAAGTCCCTTTACACTGGCTTCTAACATTCAATGATAAGAATAGATTTTAAGCATTCGGTAATGTTTATCCGTGGATGCCTGGTCTGTCTCTACCAAGCTGGAGGTTCACTTATCTCATTTTGACTTGTTTAAATATAACGGCTGATTTTACACAATGAAAAACTATATATTAAGATGATGTAGCTTTATTACAGTATGTGCGTGAAGACCTTATCTCGATTTTAATTATAACTTTTACCAATAGAAGTGAATCTAACGTAAATCACGTTTAAAACAACACGTGTGGGATTATAACCGGCGTATAAAACTTAACTTAGTGATTTTAACCGTAGCCCCGACGGCTATCCAAAGTTAGCTTCCGGTTAGCTCTACGCAGTTGGGGCTAAAGGCTTAAGAGGCACGTGACTTTTTTAAAAAGTACATAAAGGTACATAAACTTACCTTTAATAAACTATGGAAAAAACACCGATGCTGTCACTCGCTACCGGCGCAGCTAGCTTGAATCACTCTAAAGTTCCTGCGACTGAGCGAACTCTCTGGAACGTGATGTTCCGACACAGAAATTCTACTTCCGCTAAGCGGCTGATGACGAACCCGGAAATTATCGCCATTGGGCGGGCACTTTGGGATTTCTTCTAAACATCGTCGGACTGCAGACTTCTGAGTTTGTGAGTGATTGCTGAGAGCTTGTAATTTCTTGAGCAATATTTCCTTACATACAGATGACATAAAAAAAAAATATACTGCCTACTACCTAAAGGTAATGTAGCAACTAGTGATGGTGAGATGAAGCCTCATGAGGCATTGAACTGTTTGGCTAAATTGCTTCAACATCCCAACAGTTCATGAGGCTCCATGTGAACATGTCACCACCTACTGGTGGAGTGCAGAACTACAGTTTGTAATAAAATCTTTGATTTTTTGGGGGGGGAATTGTTTTTCTTTTTTTCCCCCTTTTAAGTTCCTTTGAAATTGTTAATGGTTGGTGTGTATAATAACATGTTTTGTAAGTTTTTTTTTAGGTGTAAATAATCATTTCAGGTGTACAGTTTTTCTGCCATCTTAGTGAAATAAACTCAAGCAGACAGTGAAAGTGTTTGTGCAAACTGGGCAATTATGAGCAAAATGAAAGGCGTTAGTCATTTTTATTCAAACATAATAGTTTTTCCACATTTTTTGGTTTTAATTGGGTTGGAAGTTGTGTTCAACCAATCTCTCGGCTAAACCGACCTAATTTGGCATCGTTTTTACCCAATCTATATTTTCACTAGGGCAAACCAATGCAAATTAGTCTCATTAGCCAAAATATTATAACATAATATATATTTTATATATTGTATAATTATAATATATTATTTACTGGGTTTTACAGTAGAAATGTCTTATTATTACTTACATCAGCTAAAAATTTGAGTAAAAAATCTCTTCAACGGCAAATCTGCCACATTTATTCATGGCCTCCTTTAAACATTATTAAAATGAATGTATGTGAAATGCACCTTTTTATTTTATTACTCTATTAATCCATGAATTACTATTTTAATTTTGTCAAATGTCTAATTTCGCTTTAGACTTAGTTAATTATTAGTTAAACGTGTTTCTTTATGGAAAAAAAAAAACGTGTTTCTATTTCCATACGACTTTCACTGAGTGACAAAGAATAATTTAATTTTAGCCAAAGAGGTAAATGAGATGTAAACTTTTCACAAGTACACATGAAAAGAGTAAAGGCTTATTAAATACACAAAAAGCCTAAATATGTGCACTAAAAGGACAACAACATGCATATTTACTAAAGTTAGAGGAACAACCAAAGACGAGAGACATTTAGGTGCAAGGAAAGGATCCCAACAAAAAAAAAATGGAACAACAGCAGACAGATGCAAAACTATCCAAGTCACTGAACAAAACATACAATTAGTAGGATGTTGTTGTTTTTTTATCTTATCTCCAATCAGCAGTTTCTCTTCTGATTGAATCAGAAAACTTTTACATTCCTGTTGCAAGTACTGACATTATATTTGTTGTTCTATGTTTTTTTGTTTTCAGCACACACAATGCCTTTGTCCACAATATCTCAGAGTCAAGATGAGCAATATGTTCTGTTAGCCATTTTGGATAACGCTCGCAATCTCTCCAACATACTGAAAGCCATCACCTGCAAGGACCACGCCATCTTCACAGCAACAGCAAATGGCCTGAAGGTCACAGTGGAGGATAGCAAATGCATGCAAGCAAATGCTTTCATTCAGGTGGGTTTTTCTGGTGATTCTTTTTTAAGGAAGCATTCAGAGAGACCATGCTTTTCTGCTTCTATATTTGAGAAGACCTGCTTCAACAATCCTATTTTTTTTCATTTAGGCAGATGTCTTTCAAGAGTTCACATTAAAAGAAGACTTGGTTGTTTTTCAAATTAACCTCACTGTTCTTCTCGACTGCTTGAACATCTTTGGAGGAAACACAGCAGCAGGTAAAAACTAGGAGGGGCGTGACCAGAAAATGAGCTGTTCTACACGTTTCTTACTTCACATTTTATATGATGTTTCAGGAGTATCAACAGCTCTACGGTTGTGCTACAGGGGGTATGGTCATCCTCTGACATTGTTCCTGGAGGAAGGTGGCGTAGTGACTGTCTGTAAAATTAATACACAGGAACCAGAAGAACCAATTGATTTTGAGTTCTCCAGCTCCGATGTTACAAACAAGGTTCATCTGCTGTTTTTGATCATTCAAACTGAATAAGTGTCAGTCTAAGACGGTCATATGAATTACTAGAATAATGATGTATAATCAGGAAATCCAGAAGATGCTGTAAACTAATTTTGCTCCTCTTGTCCCATCTCCTTTCGTAGGTCATTCTACAGTCAGAGAGTCTAAAGGAAGCCTTCTCTGAGCTGGACATGACTAGTGAGGTGCTGCAGATCACCATGTCCCCCAGTCAGCCGTACTTCAGGTGACCTGTCAGATCTTTTCATTGTTCTATGGTTTATGATCAAGAAATAAAAAAAAACAAAAAACAATTCCATGTACAACCCATCACTTAATATTGGTTATTTTATTGGGAATTACACTGCCATTAAAATCGAACCCCCTTTTAACTCTGCAGGTTGTCAACATTTGGAAACTCTGGAAATGCGCATTATGACTACCCTAAGGATTCGGATATGATGGAGCTTTTTCAGTGCAACAAAACGCAAACCAATAGGTGAGCGTCGCCATCAGCTGAGGAGTTCAAACTAAAATAAGAATAAGGAGTTAGTGGCCTTTGCTTTCGAAAAGTTGGGATAGTTGTCTCATTTAAAATGAAACTACGACCAAGGGATTAATTAGTTTGCAGAACTTATTTACAAAATAATGTTGCCCTTATTTTACTTCCATTTGAACAATTTATTAACCAATATAAACAATTTAGTTTCTTATCCCACTGTACTAGCATGAGTTACATTTTTTTTACCACCAGATGTCGCCAGATTCCATGATGATTTTACTCAATTTAGGAAATAAATAAACTGCAGCCATTTATAGTTTGATATTCACACCCATTTGTTTAGTTATTATTCCTGGATAATTATTGAGTGTCATTACAGCTTCTGATTTGCTTCTGTTTGACAGATACAAGATGTCCTTACTCAAACCATCCACCAAAGCTTTGGCAATATCCTGTAAAGTGTCAGTGAGGACAGACAGCAGAGGGGTCCTCTCTCTACAGTATCTGGTCAGGAACGATGATGGACAGATCTGCTTTGTGGAGTATTTCTGTTGTCCCGATGAGGAGGTGGAGGAGGAGTAACAGCTGATTTGGTCTGACCTTTTGTAATACAGCTGCAAATTTAACAGCTCATCTGACCTCACTATTAAGAGGTTCCGTTGTTGCAGAAAAAGATTTAACTCCAGCCTTGCCATGAATGATCTTCCTGCTAATAAAAAATATATAGTTTGGAAAATCCAACATTGGATTTATAAACGGCAAGGAAGGATTTCTGTTAACCTTGAGAAGGACTTTTCCTCCACCCTCATTTTTTCAGGCAACTGGTGATTCCAAGAGCACATGAAAAACTGATGATGCAGATGTCAGGTTTGTGTTCGAATTTTAGGTTTCATAAAAAAAATAAAATAAAAAAACGGATCAGATGGTAATGGCTATGCTAGGTTTCATTCACCCATACATTCGGATGTTTTTTCTTTGATGTACTTAAAATGTATTTAAATGGAAATTAGAGTTCATAGTTTTTATGCATAACTATGAACAATTTTTTCTGACCTTGGTGGATCCAATAACTGGATTACCTCTTCAGTTATCTGTATGATAAATATTTAATGTCCAAAAATGAACCGAAGGTGATAGAAAAAATGTAGTTGTGTAGATTAAATGCACTATGCTGCAACAGGAACAAATATCACCTCTTGTTTCTTTAACAATGTATATTTATTAAAAAGGGTTGTTAATGTTGAGCTATTTTGTAAAATAAACGTGCTTTCAATTACCATCAGCACATTCATGATACATGTCAAAAAAAAAAAAAAAAGGTTGTTGCAACAGGAAATCATCCTTCCAGTCAGATCCAGTCCATGGAGTTTATCTGCCTCTCCTCTGCATCCGCTGCCTCTTGAAAGCTTTGTGTTTGTTTTTCTTCACCGCTTTCGGTGGCGGTGGCTCCGTCTGAATCTTAAGAGGTTTCTCCTCTCCCGGCGTAACAAAGACATCAGCTGTCACGTCATCGTCAACCAGCTCCTTTGTTTCTTTCCGTTTCATCTTCCGGATCTCTTTCACCATCTGCCTCTCTCGCACCTTAGCTGCCGCTGCCAGGCGGAGCTGTGCTCTGTGCTGTGGGTGTTTGAGAGGACAAAAGGAGTCAAATTAATGAATAATGGGAAAAGACTTCTTGATTTAAAGATGCATCCTGAACATCAGATAAGCACCCAGAGATAGATTTCCACTGCAATTACATCTTCTTACCTGACCTTGTTTTAAAATTTGTTTACACCAGAGAATCATTTTTATTTTTAGAGTGGATTTTTAGCTCCAAAAAACAAAAAAACGCAGAAATTTTGATGGTATCAAGAGGAGACCATCCGTTTTGGTAATATAAATCCAATTTCTCCCGATGTCGAATGTGAGCAATATCCGAATATCAAATATATTGGAGCATGTCTATAAAACCCATGTACAAAAACTAGTTTGCAGATAACTACCAGGTTTGGAGACTGGAAGTTTGGATTATCATATAGTGTGGGTCCTCCGAAGCTCCCCTGGAAGATCTTTATGAGGTTCAGAACAAACCGTGGGCCAATTTCCACCAGAGAGGCGTCCTCCTCAATTATCTGAAAAAGAGGGGGAAAAAAAGGGATTAATTACAGTAAGTGGAAGCCAAGTCAAAGGACAATATTGGGCATTGTGGAAGAAATGCTGATTGAAAAATATGCAACATTTTAAGATATTTGATTTTTAAAAAGTTCACCTGGTAGTTTCTAAACCAAATTCTGTCATCTGCGATGGAGAACGTGTAGACGTGGTCAACAAAAGGCTGGCTCTTAGGGTGGTAGCGAGGAGTGGAAAATGTCTGCAACAAAGGAAAGCAAACTTAATGATCATTTAAAATTAAGAATCCCAAATCTATTTTTAGACCAAACTTTCTTTACAGATAAAAATAAAACCCATTTAAAAGGATTTTCAATTTATAGTACATTTTAAACAAACACTGCAAAACAAAAGAGCAGATTAAATTAATTACAACATAAGTGGGTTGAAAGGTAGATGGAATTAAGGACTGGAAAGAAGGAGTAAAAATAAAATATGGTCAGAAAAATGTTAGAGGATATATAGTATTAAGGAATAAAAAAGATGAATGGATAAATAGAAACAAAGAATAAAAAAAAACCAAGGAAGGATGGATACATTGAATTCAAAAAACACACAGAATGGCAGCATACTGTTTGAGTTTTTTTTTTACTGGACTTTTCCACATTTAAAAACCCAATTTTATTCATTTCCAAATTTGCCTGCAGGCAAATGCCTTTTTATGCCTTATCAGGACACATACCTGGATGAAGAGCTCCTTCAGTAAAGCATAGTGGGGATCTTTGTCAAATTTCTGTTAAACAAAATAAAGTTTATTTTTGATCTGATGCAACAAAGGCTCTACTTATTATTCCAGGCATCATATAGGAAAAAAACAAACAAACTTCAAAGTTCAGATTTGTCAGAATTCCCCCATTTTACTGCTTTATGGTTGTGTGAAACTCACTGGATCAAATGAGAGCAGTGGTCTGGATCCTTTCAGGCAGTTTCCGGTCATCTTCAGCTCAGCCAGCGTATGAACTGCAAGGGTAACAATAACAGGGATCAACTCTCTAATCCTACAAATGTCTTCTCCACCAAAGGGAAGGAGAGAAGCTACCTACTGTTCTGAACCAGAAACTTTGCAGAGGGTCCGTGTGGGCAGTTGGAGATCCTATAGAAATAAAAGTATTTTAGAGCAAAAGTAAATGTGGTTTCCTATTATTAATACAGATAGAGATTAGGACATAAGTAATTAGGATAAACTTCTAACCACATATAGAGGTCCTGCTTCTTCTTTGCTTCAAAAAAGAGACACTTGTTGCAATTCTTAATTTCACACACCTAGAAAAAATAATAAAAATGTCAGATTCTGCTGCGATAAAAGAGAAATTCTGTTCTTCAATGACTTACCTCATTTACAACAAACAGCTTGTCCTTCCTGTCCATTTTTGTATCTGACAGAATATTGTAGAAGTCAATCTCAGCTCATGATACACACAGACAGTTATTTATAAAGCTTTTTTTATTTTCATTTTAAAAACACTGACCAGCTTTTGAATGAGGCATCATGGTCCTCAGGTCCTGCATCAAGTGTCTGGTTCTGTAGTTGACTCCTCTTGAAGAGAATATAAGAACTCTTTCCTTGTTGGTCCATTTGCCCTATTAGCCAGAGATTAAACATAATATCAATCTAATTACAGTTGCAAGAGAAGCAGGCAGACATGGAGAGTCCATCACCAAAGCTTAAGGTAACCAATTTTAAAACTAAAGCTGAACTACAAGCAAACATCAGATTTTTAATTGTCGGTTAGACTTATGTTATTCTGTAAAATCTATAACCACAACCGGTAAAACTTTAAGAATTACAACATAGCTCAATACTTTGAATGGAGTAAACAGATACTCACCGTTTTACATTAAAAAAGGAGAACCATACCAGAAATTAGAGGAAACTCTAATTTGGCACTTTTATTTAAAGTTATCATGCCTTTAACATCTCATAATAGCCTGTATAACTGAGAATTAAAGTTGTAAATTGATCAGCTTCGTTGATATAATACTTATTTGTGAGAGCTAGGCTAGCTACCTGGCTAATATCCAGGCTAATTACTTACCATGGATACCGGTGCTGGAACTGTAACCTCATTTCTTTTCTCCTGTTCGGTTTCAGTCCGAGTTTCGCCTTCGTCTGCAACAAATTTACCCTTTTTACTCTTTTTAGTAGCGGGTCCCTCTCCTCCACGTTTCCTTTTGGACGCAGCCATGCTTGTTAAGGCCGTGTTGCAGACACAATCTCAAATATCGCGTGAATCGCCGAGAGTGAGCGCACATTTCCCGAGGTATAAACCCCCTAGCGGAGCGGAGGTGGTACTGTATAAGACCGTACTTGCGTGTTATTGATTGAATTAGATTATATATCTCAGGTAAAATACCCCCATTTTAAGTTATTAATGTAAATCTAACAACTAGCTGGAATGTCATTCTATCTCATATATATATATGTATTTTTCCTACAGGCTTTTTTTAAAGATCTGTCTCGCCTTATTTAAGGTAAATGGATGGGATTCTATCCTTCACTGGTATAAACTCCAACACCAGATGGTTGAGCTGGGGGACAAGCATACCAACCCATGCCCACAGGTTACTAAAGAGCAGAAGAGACTCATCCTATCAAGAAGCTGGGTTCCGCTTCACCCCCATTTAGAGAATGACCAGCTGATGTGGCTTGAAAATCTGTATTAGAGGCCCTGGATGTCTCTCTCGTGATGTGTTTCAGGCATGTACCTGAGGAGGAGGCCTACGGTCGATTCAGGACATGCTGGATGGAATATGTCTCTCAGCTGGCCTGGAGGAGGTGTCTAGTGAGAGGGAAGTGTGGGAGTACGAGTACATGTATGATAGACAGACTAACTAACAAAATAGTTAACGGTGTAGTGGAGGCTTTAAAAGGCTGTTTAAAAGTTGCTGTTTGCATCACACATACAAGCTAATTTCCAAAAGATTTGCAATTTGTACACTATGTCAGACTCACCACAGGTCAGAGAAAATGGGGACGAGCATGTAGGACAGCCTTACGTAAACATATCACCAGAATGATTGACAATTAGGAGGACCACTTATTTAGATGATCCACCCAGAAAAAGAACATCCTCCACTATACTTTAAGGAAAACTACCAAAAACGCATAGAAGGTTGTATTAAAAATTATGTTGTTCCTGTTTTTATGATGAAATACGGTACTTTAAATCTTTCATCATAATGCATAACAATAGTGAGACAGTAAGAGGGTAAGAGTGAGTCATTTCTACTGTCCCAATGGCCTGCTGGCCTTACTTTATCTAATTATCAACACAGTGAATATGTATAATAGATATTCATGCAAAAACAATCTCACTAAGTACTTAGTGCATATATTATAGTATTAGAGAGTTTATTAGAGTATATAAACATAGAGTAAAATGCATGTAAATGCCGGTGAATGCAGCCTGTTTGTCCTCTTTCTTTCATCTTTAATCTCAGCAGAATCATTTAAAACAGTGGAGGGCATTTCCAGTTCCAGAGGGTCGGTATTCTGCAACTTTAAGATGTGTCTTTAGTCTAAAGCATGTAATTGGATGATTAAGCATATAGTTGGATGATTAAGAGGGCTGTGGTAATGCAATCTGTCCTAAAAAAAAAAAAAAAAAAAAAAAAAA